ATGTTGGGATTAAAAAGTATCTGCCACCATGCCCAGCTGTAAATCAGTTTTAAAGGCATAGTACACTTACTGTGGGTTCTGACACCCTGGGAAACAGTTCTAGCTAATGGATTTCCCTACTCAATCTCCTGAGGTCTGCAATGAGGTCAGAGGACAGTGGTTGTCCTGCTGTCACTCTCCACCTCATTCCTCTGAGCTCTGATTAAACCTGGAGCTCGCCATTTTTCAGCTAGGCTGGATAGTTAACAAGTCCCCAGAAATCCTCTTCTCTCTACTCCCTCTCATTTGTGACACTGAAGGGATAGTCCCACCTACCCACAGTTAGCTTCATGTGGGTGTTGGGGAGTCAAAAAGTTGTGAACTATCTCCTCAGCCTGATTTTGATTTTTTGAAAGTATGTAAGGAAGAGATGGGCCTTGTCCTAGGAACTTAAAGAGTCTAATAAGAGTGATAAAGACAGGTTGAATAAAAAGCCACAAGAGACAGTGATAGTTCCCATAAGAAATGGATAGGATAAAGAACTCAGAGGAGGAATGTCAACTCTTTTCTGGCAACTTCGATGGCATTTTAACTGGTTCTTAAACAATGGGTGGATTTGGATGTATGGCCAGGGAGGAACACCATATACAATGGAAGAGGTGGACACAATAGTGGTGTCTGGAGAATGAACAGGACTCAGCTGCATGGCTGCAGGTTGCTGAGAGCACATAATCAGGAACGGTACCTGCTCGACATTGCTCATATCAAGCCAGTCTTGATCTTCCAGCTCTACTGCCATTTCTTCCAAGTACACACAGCGGCTGGGAATGCCATTCCCGCTTTTTAAGTTTGGATCACCTGTGAAACAGTTTTAATTTGATAGGTTAAGGATAATGTTCCTGTCCTCATGACACTGTTTTTGTTTTGTTTTGTTTTGTTTTGCTTTTTTGAGACAGAGTCTTGCTATATTGCCTATATTGGTCCTTAACACCTTGGCTCAAGTGGTCCCTACTGCCTCAGCCTCCCCAATATTGGAGACTAAAAGCATGTACTACTGTGCTCAGCTTCCAACAACTGATCTTGATAGCAAATCTCTTGAATTCAGGAATACTAATGATCTTGATACACAGAGTAGTTACAGAGCATGAACTGTTATGGAACCTCAGATACCAGCATTAACCTTAGGGTTGAAGATAGGGCATAGAGGTAAAATACCTCTGAACTGCTCAGCATCCATAGAAGAAGGAAATGGGTTAGCTACTCTTTCTACTTCCTTTTAAAGGTAGTACAGAAAAGTAGTCATACAGCCCAGTCTGCACTAAAATGGCGACAGAAAATTAGATCTGTAGAAGTAGTTTGTTTTTTGAGACAGGGTTTTCCCGAACCCTGGTTGTCCTGGAATTCACTCTGTGGACCAAGCTGGCCTTGAACTCAGAGATCCTCCTGTGTGCCACCACCTCCTGGCTAAAATACTGTTTTTAGGTAATTAAAAAGCTTACTAAGATAGACCTGCACTCCAGGGAGTAGTTTTAAGCCTTAGACATAGCAGTTTTTTAAGAGTCAAAGTAGCCCCCAGCCCAAGCCAAGAGGGAAGAGCAATCAACTGGTGGGTGCAAGTCTGAAACTCACTGTTGTCCAGAGTGATGAGGAAGATCCTTTGGATCATGTGATTGATGTTGAGTTGCTCACATATTTCTTGCTGTGACCGGAAGGAGCGACTAATCTCAGACACGGAGTAGTCAAATTCATCCAGGCTCTCTGACACACTATTATCTGAGTCATCTGGACTTGCTGGGAGCTCATCTGCAGGAACATGTAAGCCATTACACAGTATGCTCCTCCCTTAGAACAAAACACACTACCTAGAATGTATGAATGCAACCACTAGGAGGACAATCGCAGGTATGAAACAAATAATTCATCTCATTAGTGAGCAGCTCAAGCCAGGCAAGTGAAGTGTAGGACTCTGAAATCCCGGCTATAAACCTTGCCTTCTATACAGCAAGCTTTATTACTTCTACCCATAACTACCCACCCTACCAAAATTAGCAACATTAGCTAACTTGCTTAGAGAAAAAAAAATAATTAGCAAATAGATCAAATGACAGTATGGCCTTTCCCTGGTGAATGCATTTGTTTTAGTAATTTAACACTCAGGAATATGTCCTGTAGAAGGGCTCCTAAAGCTAGTTCTTTATAGATAGCTGTTTAATTCTGCAGTGCTCCAGACTCCTGTGCTAATGTTCACTATCATTGTTTTTATTTTAAAATTGGTGTGCTTCCCTTGTTTCTTGGACATTTACTTTTGTCTGTGGGGAATGTACGTCAGTGTGCACCTGGAGGTCAGAGGATAACCTGTGGCAACCCATTTTCTCCTCCTCCTATATGGGTCTTGGGGACTGAACTTGGGTCATCAGACTAGGTGGCAGGCACCTTTACCTGCTGAGTCATCTCACCAGGATTATTTTCTAAAAAGATGCATTTAAAAATTTTGAAGCTGGGCGTTGGTGGCGCATGCCTGTAAATGAAGCACTCGGGAGGCAGAGACAGGCAGATCTCTGTGAGTTCAAGGCCAGCCTGGTCTACAGAGCAAGTTCCAGGACAGCCTCCAAAACAATACAGAGAAACCCTGTCTCTAAAAACAAAACAAAACAAAAAAAACAAAAAAATTTTTTTTTTATTTGCATGTATGTCTGTGTGAGAGTTGGAGTTACAGTTGTTAGCTGTCATGTAGGTGCTAGGAATTGAACCCAGGTCCTCTGGAAGAGCAGTCAGTGCTCTTGACCACTGAGCCATCTCTCCAGCCCTTAAGATGCATTTTTAATGATGTGTACATATGCATTCTGTGTGGGAATGTGCATGCTGGGCCATCTAACTTTTTTGTTGTTGTTTAATTACAGATCTGTACCATACTTTAAAACATTTTTTTACCATTTACTTATTTTTGTATGTGCATGTTTATGTTTCATGACACAAATTTGGAGATCACAAAGCAACTTGCAGGAGTCCTTTTTCTCCTTCCACCATGTGGGTTCCAAGGATCGAATTTAGGTCATCAGAACTGGAAGCAAGTGTCTTTACCCTATCTTACCAGCCTTAAGCCTGAAGAGGTCAGAAGAGGGCTTTGAAGCTCTTGGAGTGGAGTTACTGATGGTTATAAGCCACCATGTGGATACTGCAATCCAAACCCAGGTCCTTTCACATGCTCTTTAACTGCTAGGCCACCTCTCCAGCCCTTCAATAGGCCTTTTGGCTTATCAACACCAGCATTCTTTCCTATAAGTCATTCAGAGACCTTCTTCATTCCACTTACTCTTTGTGTTTTTTGAAACAGGGCCTCCTGTTGTCCTCCCACTCCCTATAAGGGTGATCTTGAACTTCTAACCCTCTTGTCTCCACTGCCAGATTACTAGCATCAAAGGGATGCACACCACACCTGCTTTTATGGGGTACGAGGCATTAAACCTAGTGTTTTGTGCTTTCTAGGCAAGCACTCTACCATCTGAACTATCCCCAGCTCCAGCTCCATTTTTTTGTTTTTGGAGGTTTTTTTGTTTTTGACAGTGTCTTATGTTGCCCGGGCCAGCCTTAAACTGGGTAGGGAGGATGGCCTAAACTCCTGATCCTCCTGCCTTAGCCTCCTGAGTAGCTGGGATTATAAACCTGCACTAACAGGCCCAGCCCATCTCATTCCTTTTAACAGCTGCATTGTAATGTGTTTTTTGCCTTTACTACAACTTATGTAGTCACTTAAACTCCATGTCTATTTATCAGATAAACTGTTCCAGGGTTTCATGATCTTAAGTAATGCAGCACTGAACGTAATGATTGTTTTTGTTCATGTGGGTTTTTTTTTTGTCGTTGTTTTGTTTTGTTCTCCTGAGACATGGTTTCTCTGTCTAGTTTTGGAGCCTATCCTGGCACTCGCTCTGTACACAAGGCTGGCCTCGAACTCACAGAGATCTGTCTGCCTCTGCCTCCCAAGTGCTGAGATTAAAGGCATGCACCACCAACGCCCAGGCATGTGCGTATTTTTTTTTTTTTTTGGTTTTTTTCGAGACAGGGTTTCTCTGTGGCTTTGGAGGCTGTCCTGGAACTATGTGCGTATTTTTATAAGACAAAAATCTCAGAAGTAGCCGGGCGTTGGTGGCGCACGCCTTTAATCCCAGCACTCGGGAGGCAGAGGCAGGCGGATCTCTATGAGTTCGAGACCAGCCTGGTCTACAAAGTGAGTTCCAGGACAGCCTCCAAAGCCACAGAGAAACCCTGTCTCGAAAAACCAAAAAAAAAAAAAAAAAAAAAAATCTCAGAAGTGAACTGGGAGGTGGTGGCACACACCTTTAATTCCAGAACTCGGGAGTCAGAGGCAGGCAGATCTCTGTGAGTTCAAGGCCAGCCTGGTCTACAAAGCTACACAGAGAAATCCTGTCTCAAAAAACAAAAACCAGGCCGGTCGGTGGAGGTGCACGCCTTTAATCCCAGCACTCGGGATTAAACCAAACCAAACCAATCCAAACCAAAAAAAACAAAAACAAAAACAAAACCCGAGAAGTAGAATTGCTGACTCAAAGAGCATTAGGGTGGGTGAGGTTGCTCAGCAGATAAAGGCACTTGCTGCCAAGCCTAGTACTGAGTTCAGTCCTTGGAAGCCACATGGTAGAAGTAGAGGACTGAACATAGCAAGTCATCCTCTGACAAACACATACACACACATTAAATGACTGTAATACAGGATTTTTTAAAAAGAGCTTAAGTATTTTAAAAGTTAACAGAAGTTATTTTCAAAGAGGCTGCTTTTATCTGTACAACTAGCTAGGAATAAGAGAAAATGTCTCTTAATTTTATTTATTTATTTATTTTTGTTTTTACGAGACCTGTATTGTTTTGGAGGCTGTCGGTCCAGCCCAGCCTCCAACTCACAGAGATCCGCCTGCCTCTGCCTCCCGAGTGCTGGGATTAAAGGCGTGCGCCACCACCGCCCGGCTGTTTCTTAATTTTAATCAAATTTGATTTAATTACAGAGGCAGCATGGAAATAGAGGAATCTACATCAAAAAGAAGGCACTCATGGAGGAAAGACCTACATAACAGCAAGAAAAAAAGTGAAGGGAACTGTTTGAGCATTACTACCCTTCAATAATGAGAACAATGATTGCAGCACAAACTTCAGGGGACAGAAGACACACTTCTTAACTGGCATGCACTGAGAATTGATTCCTGAACCATCTCAGCATGGCCTACAGAGGAGGAAGTGGGCAAGGCCAGACCTGCTCAGTGATGCCTTCCCGGTTCAGCCCTCCAAGTCTTTCCACCAACAGCACCCTCACACATAAAATATGTATGGTGTCTGACTTTTTCTACCCAAACACCGGAGGTGTGGAAAGCCACATTTACCAGCTTTCTCAGTGCCTCATTGAGAGGGGGCACAAGGTCATAGTTGTCACCCATGCTTATGGAAATCGAAAGGGCATCCGTTACCTCACCAATGGCCTCAAAGTTTATTATTTGCCTCTCAGAGTCATGTACAACCAATCTACAGCCACAACTCTCTTTCACAGTCTGCCACTGTTCAGGTACATATTTGTTCGGGAGAGAGTTACCATAATTCATTCCCACAGTTCTTTCTCTGCCATGGCCCACGATGCTCTCTTCCATGCCAAGACAATGGGGCTTCAGACAGTTTTCACGGACCATTCCCTTTTTGGATTTGCTGATGTCAGCTCTGTGCTTACAAACAAGCTTCTAACTGTGTCTCTCTGTGACACAAACCACGTAATTTGTGTCTCTCATACAAGTAAGGAAAACACTGTACTACGAGCAGCACTGAATCCTGAAAGAGTATCAGTCATTCCTAATGCTGTAGACCCTTCTGACTTCACCCCAGGATCATTGAGGAGGCATGACAGTGTAATAACTATTGTTGTTGTGAGCAGACTTGTTTACAGAAAAGGGATCGATTTGCTCAGTGGTATAATACCTGAACTCTGTCAGAAATATCCCGAGTTGAACTTCCTAATTGGAGGAGAGGGACCAAAGAGTATTGTTTTGGAAGAAGTACGGGAAAAATACCAACTACATGACAGGGTGCATCTTTTGGGAGCTTTAGAACACAAGGATGTCAGAAATGTCTTAATTCAAGGACATGTTTTTCTTAATACCTCCCTGACTGAAGCCTTCTGCATGGCAATCCTGGAAGCTGCCAGCTGTGGTCTGCAGGTCGTCAGCACCAGGGTTGGTGGGATTCCCGAAGTCCTCCCAGAGAATCTTATTATTTTATGTGAACCTTCAGTAAAATCTCTGTGTGAAGGGCTGGAAAAAGCTATTTTCCAAGTGAAGTCAGGGATGTTACCGGATGCAGAAAAGATCCACAATGCAGTGAAGGCTTTCTATACCTGGCGGAATGTGGCCGAGAGAACTGAGATGGTGTATGAGAGGGTGGCGAAGGAGACGGTGCTGCCGATGCGTGAGAGGCTGAACAGGCTCACCTCTCACTGTGGACCACTCACAGGCCACAGTTTTGCTTTGCTGGCTGTGTTCAGCTACCTCTTTCTCACGCTCCTGAGATGGATGACTCCTGATTCTGTCATTGATGTGGCAATAGATGCCACTGGGCCACGAAGAGCATGGACTCACGATATAAAAGGAGATGCGATTGACGAGGTATCCAAGAGCAGGTAGAAGCAAGTGTCAACTGTAAACCTTAGACAGCTCTATTAACAGTTGAAAGGAACCTTGTTCTTTTGCTTCTGGGCTTTGAAGTTAATGTCATAGATCATGCTACCTCTGTAGCATTCACTGTTTCATTTGAGGAAAGCTAAATGCTCACACAATTCCTGAGCTTGGAAGCTCCTTGTATTTCTTTAACTTTAGAGAGACCAGTTTGACCACTCAGGAAATCCCTCAAGTGGAGACGTTTTAACATTGCATTTTGGGAAGCCTTGGGTGCTGGGTCTTTTTTGGGACAATTTTTAACATTATGCCATCATTCAACATCTACCAGAAACAGACAAGCTTCCTTTAGGGAGACGGTTATGTGAACTATTTCAAGTCAAACTGATGTTTCTTTACTGGACCCTGAGAACACATGGGTCCACTCAGCAAGTGTACCATACCATCTGAGCAACTTGCCAACACGTTTTGAGCACCTGCTGCCTGCTCTGTAGAAAATGTTCTGCCATGGAGGACTAGCTAATGTGGGGTGGTAAATCAGTTACAGGCCCCAAATGCTCAAGTTACTAACTTTGAGGGAAATGCTACCATCACATACTCTAAGCACTTCTCTAACCCTGCTGTATGCATTCTCCTACTTCATTGCATATGTAAGAAGAGATTTTGTTTTTCAAGTCCTAGGTGCTGGTACCACTGTTGTAGGCTTTAACAAAATTACTTATTATTGTCGTGTGTGTATGGCATGTTTGTAGGGTAGAACAATGCGTTTCTGTATACACACCTTGATTATAACTGTCAGTGCATGTGGAAACACACTGTTCCAATCAGCTACTTACAATTATTTAACGTGAAATGAACACTGAGGAATTTTCTATAAAGATTGTATTTTTTTTATTGTATTGCTTTTGATGTTACAGTTCCTCACATAAACCAAGGCTGTTAAAATATGTTCATGACCAAAAATAAAGATGAAAATGAATTTTAGACAAACAAACAAAATATAACTTTAATTTTTTATTACATTTCTTTAGTGTGTGTGTGTGTGTGTGTGTGTGTGTGTGTGTGTGTGTGTGTGTGTGTATGGCTGTATGGCTGGCTGGCTGGCTACCTGCTTGCTACAGAGCACATGCAAAGTCAGAGGACAACTTGTTGGAGTCTTCTTTTTTCCCAGTGACTGAACTCAGGACACCAGGCTTAGAAACAGGTGCCTTTAGTCACTGAATCATCTCAACAGCCCCTAATTGTAGTTTTAATGGGCATTTTCCTATAGATTAGTGAGGCTGGAATTTTCATCATGTGATATTTAAATTGCTGTCACATCTTGTCTTCTAGCTTTTCCTACCTTTCCCACCTTAATCAACTAAAGGGGGGAACTCAAAGATTGCCTCTCAGAAGGGCACTCACAGGAAGCCCTTATAAAAGTGGTGCTAGGCACTAGAAACCAGAAGGGCAAACTTCTTTTCTTTTTGTGGTTTTTTTCTAAGACAGGGTTTCTCTGTGTAGCCCTGGCTGTCCTGGAACTTGCTCTGTAGATCAGGCTGGCTTCGAACTTACAGAGATCTGTCTGCCTCTGCCTCCCGAGTGCTTGGATCAAAGGTGTGCACCCATAGGACTTCTTTTCTTTCTTGACAAAGTGGTATTCTGAAAACCAGGACCAAACTCTCAGAAGTAAGAGATGTTTCTATGTATGAGTTCAGCAGACCTAAAGCTCAGCATAGGAGGTCAAAGATTCTGGCAGAATACTAATTGCTGGTAACAAACAGGTTGGACCTGGTGGCATGAGGGACTCAGTGTAGACAACTAAGGTGATGAGGTACCACGATAGTAACAGTAGGGCATGTTCTTGCTCATTCCCAGAGCTGGCTGCTTACAAGCTCTCAGCTCCAGCCTGGAGTCTATTTACAGCCAGTTAAAAAGCCTTGCACTTACTCCTCTTCATCTACAACCTCTTCCCTTGTCTGTTGCTTTTCCCTCCAGTCTATTCAACCCTAACAGTAAAGCAAGGTCAAACTCAGCAGTTCACCAGTACTATATACATTTTAAATCGACAAGGGAAAATGTAAACCATTTCTCTTTTTATCAAAAGAAAAAAACCCACTATTTTTGGGAAGGGGGATGTCATTTCTAGTTTGAAAGATTGTGACTCCCCCAGGGGACAATGTGTTTTAGAAATATATTCTAATCCCTCTGGACTGTCTCTAGATAGAAAGAAGCTGTCCTCAATCTTAAATTCAGTTCCAAATGAGGAAAGCCATTTTCTGGCTATCAAGAGATTATACTGAGCTCTGTTTTTCTTTTTTCGTATTAAAGCTAGGAATTAAGATTCTTAGCAGTCTGAGAGCTAACAGCAGTGAGTTACAGAGGGGGCCACTCAGCAAAAATACACTTCACCTGAGAGGTCCTACAACTCTTTTTTTTTTTTGGTCAAAAGATCAGAAAGCTTTTGTGATTCTCCTGTATCTGATTTGTACAACTGCTTGCAGCTTGCTAGCCACCACACCCCAGTTTCCTATATTAAAAAGATGGGGTTGCAGCTGTCATCTGTGCCTGTGGATCCACCTGTTAGTCAATCTCTTTTCACATGAGTGAGAGGACAGCATAGCGGAAGGCCCCTCAAACAAAACAAGTCAAATTTGTCTTCAAACCAACAGACAGACAGACAGACAGTCAGTAAAAGCAAAACAACTTCTGCCCCAAACTTAAGTTCTAATTGCAGTTAATTTCCTAAAGAATCCTTCCTCTGGGAAGACCCGGTTCTAGGTCGTGGCATCTGCTGCTATTGGCTCCTTTACTTACCAGATTGCTGCTTCAGCTGCTCTTTTTGGATTGCTGCAAACTGCTTGGCATCAGCCAGGGAACCAAAAAGAGCAGCAAAGGGGTTACTTGAGATGTTGTTGTTATTCTCCTGGTCTGTCATTTCACTTTAAGGTATCCTCCATCCAGCCCTAGGGGGAGGGGCTATGCAAAGGACAGGAATTAGATTTAGAAGGGCAGATAAACAGTATACCCACCACTGTTTCATTTCCCATTTTTTGAACACTATGCATTTGAAAATGCTTTGGAGTAAGACATACAAATTCCTGTTCCCAACCTCAAGATGTATTTGGCAAGATAGTTACAAACCTACCAACTGGACACAGCTAAAACTCAAAAGGTTTGACAGTCAGTGACTGCAATTCCCCATTAACTGTAACCATAGACACACCACAAGAGTTATGGATTCCTCATACATTTTTAAGTTTTCATTCACATGCAGAGGACAAGGTGGTACCTGCCCAGACCGCTACAACTCAGGACTGAAGTTGGCAATTCCTTAGCTACACAGGAACTCAGATTTCTTCGTCTTTTTACTAAAAGGCAAGTTTTTCATATCACACGTGGTATGTGTCTGTGTGTGAGCATATGCCTGTGCGCGAGCGTGGCGTGTGTGTGTGTGTGTGTGTGTGTGTGTGTGTGTGTGTGTGTGTGTGTGTGTGTGTGAAATTCACTGTGCAGCTGGGGAGGACCTTGAACTCCTAATCCTTCTGTATATATCTAAGTGCTCGGATTACAAGCACACACCACCATGCCTGACTTGACATTCAGATTTGGAATGCTGAATCAAGGCTAGAATCAGGTTAGTTGTATGTTTGTAGGTCTCTCATGTATATTAAGTAACCTAATTCTTCTCACAGATCTGGAGCTGGAGAGATGGCTCATCAATTAAGAGCACCAGCAGCTCTTCTAGAAGATTTAGGTTCAATTCCAGACACCTGGCAGCTCACCACTGTCTGTAACTCTAACCCCAGGGCATCTGAAAGCCTCTTCTGGCCTCCAGAGTCACCAGGCATGCATATAGTACACAGACATATGTGCAGGCAAAATATCACCCACACATTAAATAAATAACAAAACTACAGATCCTTTTCAACTATAATCTTAACATTCCTGACTGATGCCTTTCTTCTTTTCTGTTAAAATGAGATAGGACCTCATATATAGCCTAGGTTGGTCTTGAACACATGATCCTCCTGCCTCAGGCTTCACAGTGCTAGGGTTACTGGCATCATGCCTGGCTAGTCTTTTTTGATTCTATACTAATTTTTACTGCTTATCTACTTTTTTAATTTCCAAAATACTAATTCAACTGTCAGGTAGACTGTCTAACATAAAACAGAAATAACACTTCTAAGATGAGAGGACAGGATAGGGAGGAGGAAGAACACTGATCTACCTTTAATTAATTAGTCTTTTTTGAGACAGGGCCTCATTATGAAGGCGAAGCTTCCCTGGAACTTGATGGATAGCTTCAAACTTATGCCTCTCCTGCCTCTGCCTGCTGAGTGCTAGAGTTACAGGATGCATCACCACAGATGGTCTTGCCAAGGCTGGCCTCAACTTCTGTCCTCTGGTTTCAGTAGTGTGTCGTCGCCACCCCCACCCCCCAGTGTTGTGATTACAGGAACAAATCACCATGCTTAGCTTAACCTTCATTTCACCGAAGTAAGGCTCCTTACAAAATCATATTAACAAAAGCTAATACAAACTGGGGAAGTTAGCCTTAAATGCTAGAGGAAGAGTTTATATCACTTCTTGGCACTTCTGAGATATTTCATGGTGTTTGCTATTTTCCTGCATCAGAGCTGAAAGCTAATTAGACATAAAAACACCCAGCAAGTCTCCACCTCTTCTCAGGGTGGTGTAGAGCTTTTCTACTCCAAGAAAATGACCTCTTAGATGCTGCTTTACCCCGGCCCCCCTGTGTGTGTGTGTGTGTGTGTGTGTGTATTTTTAGTTGAACTTACTAAAAATATCATATTTTATGTTGTAATTAACAGGCCTTGAGAGGACTTTCTCCTCTGTAACCACTGGATGAGCTTAGTTCATCTCTAATTCACATGATGCCATTCTGAACTGTCTTACTGTTGGCTCACTACCACTGTCCCCCTACCCCAAGGTATCCTGAACTCTAAAAGATGGCAAAAAGCATAGTGAACTCTTGTTACTTTGTCTCCAGAATATTACCATCTTTTTTCTCAACATGACAGTTTTGGATTTTCCCTTGAATACCAATTCCATTCAAGACATATGTCCAGATGCACTGATCTCATCTACCAGCTCGAAGAAGGGGCACAGAGGACAAAGTGACTGATCCAAGAATGGGCAAAAGACCTGTCAAGGCTTATAAAAATCAGTGAACATTGTCTTTGGACTTTTGGCTGAACTCATTGAGAAGGGAGCTCCTTCTTCTTGGATTACTAGGCTAGTAAAACACAAACCTATAGTTGCCATCTTTTAACCATCTAAAAAATGCCTACCCCCAAATTAAGCTACCATACAGGAAAACAGAACTTTCCAGACTTTTCAGTTATAGAAGCCAACCAATTGCATAAGCCAGTTTGAAGCGTGTGTGTGTGTGTGTGTGTGTGTGTGTGTGTGTGTGTGTGTGTGTGTGTGTAGGAGATAACAACCTGTATCACATGTGTAAAAAGGAAGTTGAAAGCCAACAATACAGAACATAGGACACAGGTTCAAGACTATCAAGAAAGGGAGTTTAGCACCACAAATCCACATACTTCTTTCTTAATTCTATACTCTTCCCTTATACAAAGAAGCTAACTTTCTATCCTATCCTATCCCTGTTTATATTGGGATTTAAAAGCTTCTACATTGCACTCTTATGCAGATCTGATTTACTAGGCTCTAAGACCTTTTTGTTGTTGTTTTGCTTTTTGTTTTGGTTTTTCGAGGTTTTGTATTGTTTTGGAGGCTGTCCTAAAACTCGCTCTTTTAGACAGGCTGGCCTCAAACTCACAGAGATCCACCTGCCTCTGACTCCTAAGTGCTGGGATTAAAAGCCTGGACCACCAACACCCGGCCAAGGCTCTAAGACCTTTGGGTACAAGTTGATATCAGATTATTCTTTTTTTTTTTTTTTTTTTGGTTTTTACGAGACAGGGTTTCTCTGTATTGTTTTGGAGGCTGTCGGTCCAGCCCAG